TTTCTTTGTTTTTCGTGACACTCTCAATGATTGTCTTGCAAATGCGTCGCGCTTCCTTGCTTGGGTGACGAAGGACAAACGAGTCTGAGGGCGAAAGAATCTCATTTCCGCAGGTGCTTGCGTGTGCGAAAACGGTTCAAATCCGTCGTCGTCTTCTTCTTCTCGTTTCCTGGTTTTAAAATGAACGAGAGGGGAAACGAATTAAAAATGAAATACGATAAGTGGGGGACCCGAAATATGAATGCATCAGCAAGATGACGATTTGACTTTTAGACACTTGAACTATGAATTTTGTGTGGCTGTGTCACATCATCTCGACAAATGTATCGAGATGTGGACACTGTGGCAAAATTTGCAGAAAATTCGTAGAATATAATTCATCAACTCTTGATGTCCCTTGGAAAAATTCAGCTACCGTCGTGGACGTGAAGTCAAAATGAAAATGTACAGTAATACATTTACTCTTGATTTATTTTCCGAGGTGAAAAATTGTTCCATATTTATCGAAATATTGATTTTTATAAAACAAGTCAAGCTATTGTCGTGGGCATAAAATCAAATAAATTTTATTATAAATTTACTGTACTGCAATTCAATATCCAAACAAATTCAGTACAGTATTCATGAAAATTTTGAAATCTCTTGGACACATTTAAGTATTGTCGTCGAGATGAATTAGAAAATGGATCTTATTAATTCACTGTAATTTATTTTTCAAAGCTAAAAATATTTGGGGCTATCAAAAACCTTGATATCTCTTGTACAAAATTGAGCTACTGCCATGGACACAGAGTAAAAATGGATCTCATTATAATTTTATGCTAGTTTATTCATTTTGTAAATCAGTACTGTACCGTACGTATTGAAATGTTGATATCTCTTGAACAAATTAAGCTACTGCCATAGATGTAAAGAAAAAATGAATTTTTTTTTAAAATTCAATATAATTTAATTGACAAAAGGAAAATATTCATGTGTTTCTGAAAATCTTGATTTACATTATCTTGAACAAATTGAAGTTTTGCTATTGACATAAAGTCAAAAGAATAAATGGTGAATGTGCTCTGATTTATTTTCCGGAACATAAAATGACTGGTTATGCGTGATTTTCTTCAGCACATTTTTTAATGGTTTTGAAGTTCAGAAAAACACTTGTACCTAATTTTTGTTGGCCTTTTTTATTTTTATTTTTTTCGGAACACGAGAAATGATTCAGCATTTCGGCTTTGAAGTCCACGGAAAAACGTGATCAGACGTGCGGACGTTCCATTATATGGACACAGTCTGAGAAAATAATTACGTCCGCATCTCAGGGCTCCAATGTGTACATAAAAAAAGAAATTAAATAAAATTTGTCAGCTTGATTTTGCTTCGTTTTTGCTGCTACCTACTCTTGGAAGCGAGTTTCAACGTCGAATTTTTTGTTTAGGACAGGATTTTACTGCGTGTGTGCCTACAGTATTTTAAAGTGGCATTGACTGAAGTTATCTTTCTGGTTTGCCGAGATACTGTATTTGATTCATCAGAAATTTTCGAACGAATTTTCAAAAAATTATCCAAGTATGAAAAAGGATGATTCCGATGGCGAGGGAATTCATGTTTTCTTGGTCCAGTTCTTCTATTAGTCAGGTGTGGAATTATGATTTCAGTGATACAGTAGTAAAACGATGAAAAGACCACTTCTCGTGTGATTTATTTCAGGAATACCGTATTTTGTTTCAGACATTCTTTGACAGAAAAATTATACAGTATATTAAATGTGCAAGTTGTGAATATCCGTTTGGAGCGGAATTTGTTTTGCCTTGTTCCTTTTTTTGAAGTATCATTGACTGAAGTAACATTTGAAGCTTGATGCAGATTTTATAGAATTTCCCGGAAATTTTTAAAGCTACAGTCTAGGTACGGTATATGATTTGAGAAACTGTGACGGGTATTTAAAAAAAATATTCTCCGCAATAATCCACGCGATATCAAAAATAACATGACATTCCTGTCTCAATTTATTTATTTTTTCCTCGTAGAAAATAATGCAGTATTGATTTCTTGAGATTTTTTTGGGGGGTGATCAAAGCCAATGTGACAGGAGTAAATGACAACGATCTTTTATTCTTTTTTCAATGCCTTATTGTTCAAGAGATTACGTGACTCCAAAGTTAACGTATTGATGAAGTTATGAATGTTTGTTTAGGACAGGATTTTTCCTGCCTTCGTGCGTTTTATGAAGTACCATTTCAGGCTCGCTGGGAATTTTTCTGCACCTTTTCAAAGGGAAAGAAAGACGTGTAAATATTAATTCGGTGGCGGCGGAATTCATTTTTCCTGCCTCAGGTCCGATATTTTTATTTAGTTTTTTTTGCTGTATTTATTTTATGCAAAACGCCAGTTGTGGAATCTATATTTTTCTCACGAATTTGTCGTTTTGAATTCGATATGGCGAAAGAAAATGGGGAAGAGCAAAAATGACGAGAAAACTTCAGTTCTTTTTTTTTTTTTTAATACTGTAATACAATAGAACATCGTTATTAAAAATTGACGCTTTCAACAAATTTGACGTTTTGGACCCTGTGCGATAGCAACAGTATTATTTTAATTTATTTCGGACGAATTTAGTCTATAACGAAGTTTATTTAAAGGTCTCAAACGATTCGTTGTACCGAGATTCTGTTGTAACTAATTTGTTTTTCACGTTTATAAAAACGTGGACATGAAAATAATTGATTGTAACCGCATGTTGGGAATTATAAGAACGACGACCGTAGTTATTCAATTTATTTTTAATTTCTTTAATAATTTTGAAACAAATTTTTGAATGTGTTCCAGATCTGTCTGGAGCATCTCGCATGTTTTTCGAGCATTTTTGAAAGTTAATCACATGGTAACAATTTAAGTTTTTGGCGAGAACATTTTTTGAATATTAGTACAAGAAAATTATTTTCTCCACCTTGAATTACTTTTTTTTAAATAAGCAAGTGGGGAGTTTTTCTTTTGATCAAAAGCTGGCTCGTAAAACCCCTGGACGAAATTGAGGACTACGCGTTACTGTTGAAACTTTGATTTTGTTCTCGAGTTTGAAGCAGTTTTTTTCTTCATCGACGATGAATTTTATAATTGCTTCATAATTAAAACAAAAGAAGAATGCCAAGTTTACTGTATTCGAACTTTCGAAAATTCGTCGCGCATGTTTAGGCTTCCGTTTGCTTGGCACAGAGTCAAAAGTCACGTGGGAGGATGCGGACTGTTGCTTGAATTTTAAATGCGGATTTGAATGCAGTACCACGAAGTACTTGCTGTCGTGCGTCCATAAGTTTATCCGTTGCTTTTTCTCTCTCTCTCTTTGTCTTTCTTTGGATGCAATGATGCAATTGCAGTAGTGCGGTATTTTTTTGATCAACGGGTGCAGATTAAACTTGACTAATCAAAATGCTGCTGCTGTTTTTTCTTATTTTTTTTTTCCTTGCAGAGCAAAGTTTTCAGCGGCAAACGTTTGGTGCAGTACACGTCATCGTGGGATCAGAAAAAGCGACTCAATTCAGCATTTTTGATTGGAGCTTATGCTGTGAGTACCGAATAATTTTGCTGAAGTTCTTTCGTGAGACTTGAGTTGAGTTGGAAACGATGTTTTTATTTTGAACTTTTGAGATAAACTCGTATGCGGCACGTAATTTATTCAATTTCTGCATTTTATGAAAGTAATCAATTTTGACGTTTCTATTGGGAGACTTTCATCTCGATTTTATAGTTTGGTTTATTTCGTGTGTAACGCTCATTTTACTTTTGCGATAAGCTGAAATGGGGCTCCTACTATATTTTCAGAACTTTTTGAAAGAAAGATTTCCCTGATTAGGTAAAACTCGAATGAAAAGGCATCGTTAGAAATACAGTATTTTTAAAGGTAATTATTTTCAGAGGAACTCCTAATATATGTTCTGTTTGTGCTCCATCAGAGACTCACCATGTTTATTTTTCTCCTCGCATTTGTTGGAAACCATTCTTCATTTACAGCAGATACTGTACATTTAATATTTTTAAAAAGTACCGTATTTACTCAAGTACCAAGCGTACTTTTTCATCAAATACGGAGATTCAAAGTGAAATGTTTGACGGATGTTAAGAAACATTTTTAAAATTGGAGCAGTTGGAAATTAATTAAATTCATGTCAAAGTTCAAATTCTGAAGTTTTTTCTGTCCAAAATATTGCTATTATTCAGTCACTGCTGAAAATGATGGGGAACATTTTTTGTTGTTGTTCGTTAATTGGTTAATGATGCTGTGCAACATTTGTTGCTGCCCATGTTTGCTTTCAAACTGCAGATTTTAACTCAATTTTCAGAATGTAAGTCCTCAGGGATTTTTGTGATGGCTGATCCGGAAGTATTGACCTCGATGAAATCAGCATTCCGAGATCAACGTGATGAATCGAAAGATGCACGACGCGAATCCGGATATATATATATTTTTTAATAAAGCAGTTGAATCAAATTGTGTTTGCCCTTGAAGCCTCGTCCGTTGTTTTTACCGTGTTGAAGGTTGATTAGGTGACGAGTAAAAATAAATTGGTTTTTTTGTTTAATCATTCTCAATTTTTCCCTTTTTTTACTGTGTTGTGTAATTTTTTATAGATTGATCACTGTCGGTTCCTTTTTTTTTACATAAATTAATTCCTTCGTGTCTTTTATTTTTGTCACTTGGTGAAGACGGAGATTGTTTAGGTTTCACGCTGATTGAAATATAGTGAGTTCCCGCATAACGAAATATTGTACTCACACAGATGAAAATCTACAAAACAAAGAATGTTTAGGGGGATAAGCATGAAACACATTACGAAATCATTTCACATAACGAAAATTTTGACAGAAAAAAATGCCCAAATTTTGAACTAAAACTTGAGAATTTTCAAAAAAGATCGAGGAAGGAAAAATGTACAATATTTTCTCATCATCTTGTCCTGACAATGATGAAGATTCTGAAAGTTACGAGGAAGAGTTGTCAGGATTACTTAGATTTAGTGCTAAGCAATTTTAATATTCTCAATTTTCCACTTCTAGAGAAATTAAAACTGTCGACTAAATTTTGAGTGACACTTGGAAAGTATCCTATATTTCACAAATTTATTTTCTACCTCTTCACTTGTAAAAAAAAAAAATCATCTCTTCGGGCTGTTGAATTCTTGGCATTTCCAGCTAAGACTTGATAGAATTGAGAGTACAAATTGACTCACCCGTAAAAGTTAATTTTCTGTATCACGAGTTGCGGAGAATAGACTATGAAAAATGAACCTGGATTTTGACGTAATGTAATTGTATTTTCTTCTGACTCCGCTCAAGCCAGCTTAATTTGTGAACATTCCAGACAGTATAAATATAAACACTAATTATTTCGTAGGATTGTTTCTAAATGTCGGAATTGGTAGGTATTTAGTGCAATCATGCGTATGTAATTGTCGACACTTTATTTATTTCTTTTTAAAACTCGGGATTCTGTGTGTAACATGACACGCTTCAAAATGGAACTTTGTCGAGACGAGCGAGGAAATGAGAATCGTTGTTTTTCCGCTTGAATTACGTACCTCAAGGTAATCCTCGAATAAGCGTAGATCGGGTTGAGACGAGTTGTACCTGCGAGGGTTTTATTTAGTTACGAGCGTTGCGAATATTTCTCACGAATGTTCGGTCATTTTTTGAGGACTCCGATAATTTTTATTATTATTTTTTTAGATAATTTATCACGGAAAGTCAGCCGAAGAAGTTTACAAAGCTTTGACTCCTCCGGGAAACCCGACATACATCACTTACCGGTGAGGAATTGGATATTTTTCTCTCATTCATCACTTGACAATTTTTTGAAATGCATTCTTCTTTTTTTTTTTTTTGGAGCAGAGATGCGTCGATGGGTCCGGATATGTTCCCACTGAAATTGGAAGATTGTTTGTCAGCGATTGAGAAAGCCAAAGATTTGGGGTTCTTCAAGTTCGAGTCGTTTGATGTCGAGGAGTACGAATTTTTCGAGGTCGGTTTGGTTTTGAAAAGAAAAGCTGTTTCATTTTTTTCTCGAATACAAATATTGTTGATTTTTTTTATTTGTGTGTGCAGAAAGTCGAGAATGGGGACTTTAACTGGATTTTGCCCGGGAAGTTCCTTGCGTTCTGTGGTCCTCATAGCGAAAGCAAGCTCGAACTTGGTTCGTATGTCTTCTCCGCAAAACTCTTCAATTTTTGAGAGAAAAAAAATTGTTTCATTTTCACAATTTTTAATGCTTCTGTAGTCAAGACAACGTGTTAGATTTTTTTGTGGCTTAAACGAAGCATTTCCGAATTTGAAGGCTCTGTAGAAACATTTTTGCTAAGGTAATTTTTCTAAATCCGTGGAGGCAACTGATTAACGATTTTTATTTTGAAATTCCGCATCGTTTTTGAGCAACTCTCGCAATTGACAAATGAAGAAAACATCTAAAAATGTCAATTGATGAGATGATCTTGAGAACATATGTCACGTTTTAAAAATGTGAATTGGCTTTGGCAAAATATTCTTCAATGATCGGTTTCCTCGCGATGCTGGGTTATGCGAGGGGTCCAAAAAAGTTTCCCAGAATAAAAATTGAGGTAGCAAATGAATGAAGAGCAGAAAGCTGCCAGGGTGGCTTTTGCCAAAAATTCCGCGAAATATCTCAAACCGGGTCTGAGTTTTTTTATTGCGCTGAAGAATACTTTTTTTCTTAAAAATTATTGTTCGTTAGCTCAATGCTTTGGCGTTTCAATTTGTATTCCGAGAAATTTTGTTAGACCCCTCGAAAATCGGTTTAATACTTTTGATAATTTAGCAGTAGGATTATGAAGTAAATCGTGGTGACGAGAGAAAAATGCGGGAACATGTGATTGCCTCTGATTGACAGTTTTTCGCGCGAATCGCAAAATTTCTCTCTAAATCTCGTCGCATATCTTCATCAGACGAAAATGAGAGTTCTTTACATTGTCTTACGTGTTTCTTACGACTGATGTCATACTGTTCATTAGATTACCCTGTGCATGCCCCGGAAGCGTATTTCCGGTATTTCAAGCAACGAGGAGTCACGACCATTGTCAGGCTGAACAAGCGGTTGTATGACGCTGGACGGTTTCGGGCTGCGGGCTTCCAGCACTTTGAAGAGAAGAAGTTGCTACCGAGGCAAGGCAGACTCCGGTAACACGCAGTCAAAGAGCTGTAACAGCTCTTCCGGGGGCCACCACATCGACACGTAACGTTTCCAATGTTAAAAGAAACACGCTTAAAACTTCTTGTTGCATGTATATTTTTGAGGTCGTAAAAAATGTCCGTGGAGTCCCTGACGGAGCCCCCCGAAAAATTAAGGAAAAAATGTTAATACTGGGAAAGCATAAAAATCTGAAGCAACATCGATTCAAACTTACCCGGAAACGGAGATTTAACAAGGACAAGGATTAGTTAAATATTTCAAATAGGGTTTTAACAATTTAAAGAACCGACAACTACATCGGATACAATTCTATTTTTTATTGTAACTTCATTTTTTGTGATGTATTTTAATGTGCGTATTTTTTGATTTTGTGAAATTGAATGCAACTAGGATACATTTTTTGTTGGATATACAATGTATCTTTGAGGTTTGAAAAATGTCAGTAGAGTCCCTGGGAACTGCTGACGGAGCCTCTGGAAAATGAAAGCAAAAAATTTTGATGAAGGGAGAGCATTAAAATATGGAGCACCATAGATTCAAACTTACCCGGAAAGGGAGATTTAACAAGACCAAGAATTAGTTGAATATTTCAGGAACGGTTTTAACCATTTAAAAAACCGAAAGCCGCATCGGATACAATTTGATTTTCATTTTAAGTTTATTTATTTTTTAATTCATTTTACTCCGCGTGTTTTTTTGTTGTGGAATTAAATGCAACTAGGATGAAACTTGCAGTTCTGACTTCGTCGTCAGACTGAGATTTTTGCTTAGTTTATCTTCCCGACCGTGGGAGTGATTTTTTTTATCAGTGTCTTCCTTCGAAGGGATGGGGTAAATGTGAAAAATCTAATATTTTTGTTTTCCATCGTGAAGACTTTGTATTGTAAATTGATTTTTGGTACTGTGGGTAAATCAGGTTATTTTGCATTTATTTAAATTTTTCCTTCTTTCTATTCAACAGCTGGTCTTGGAAGAACAGGAGTTCTTATCGGCTGCTATATCATGAAACATTACAAGTTGACGGCTGCGGAAACAATTGCGTGGTTACGAGTTTGTCGACCTGGATCTGTGATCGGATTCCAACAAACCTGGTTGGATCAGTGAGTTTTATTCATTTTTTTTCACTTTCCTTCTCATGGTCTTTTTCAAAGCCTGTGGTTTTCCCAAATTTTCCAGGTTGATCTTTTGTTGTTGTACGAAAAATTCCTGTGAGATGGGATGATTGCGGGAAATTGAACAATTTACAGAATTATTGCCTTGGGATTCCCGCGTCATTTCTGCGATTCGCTGCAACTGGGCGATATTTTAAAATTATGTTATTACGTAATTTTCGAATTCATTTAATCTCCTTGAAGTAAGCGATATTTACCTCACACTTATCACGAAGTACAAAAAATAATTTCAAGGATGAATGAATTTTTGAGGGCGAACATTTTTCTATCGATTAAATATGGAAACTTTTTTTTTTCTTTGAAACCTATTCGAAACCCCGTCGTTTGGATTTTTTAGGAACTGATCAGTGCCCAGGAGGTTGATTGAATATTCATTTTTAATAGGTCCTGTAAATTCGATAGTCCTTTTCGATGATGTGGCGTATCATTTTTTTTGTGCTAAATTAATTGGACTTCGTTACGTCAACAAATTTTGTATGAATGGTCGGTTTTTGAAAGGTTTATATTTTTTTACTCTGTTGGATATTTTTCGCTTTAAAAATTCTCGTTTTTAATGGTAGGGTTATGACTTTTTTTCATTTTTCGTGTGCAGAAAACAAGCATTTCTCTGGCTGCAAGGCGATCTGCACCGAACCAAAACCGCTGCCAAGAGCGTGGTGGGTGACGGACCCCCTAGCAACTGCTTGGACCCGCCACCCAGGTTCATCCAGGGCGTGTACCACATTGTGGACGGGAACAGGAACGAGTTGTGTTTCCCGTCCACCCCGAGGGAAGTGGCGAAGATCATGTCCCAGGTCAACACTNTCTCTTCTTCAACGATGGCTCCGTTCCGTCTGAGGCCATTGTGCGTCAGTTTCTCGACATTGTCGAGAAGGCCCCCGGTGGTGTAGCTGTGCATTGCAAAGGTTACAATTTTCTTTGTGCGAATTTTGTTCTTGTTGCATGTATATTTTTGAGGTCGTAAAAAATGTCCGTGGAGTCCCTGACGGAGCCCCCCAAAAAATTAAGGAAAAAATGTTAATACTGGGAAAGCATAAAAATCTGAAGCAACATCGATTCAAACTTACCCGGAAACGGAGATTCAACAAGGCCAAGGATTAGTTGAATATTTAAAAAAAAGGGTTTTAACAATTTAAAGAACCGAAAACTACATCGGATACAATTTTATTTTTATTGTAACTTCATTTTTTGTGATCGATTTTAATGTGCGTATTTTTGAATTTTGTGAAATTGAATGCAACTAGGATGCATTTTTTTGGATATACGATACATTTTTGAGGTTTGAAAAATGTCAGTAGAGTCCCTGGAAAATGAAAGCAAAAATGTTGATGAAGGGAGAGCATTAAAATATGGAGCATCATAGATTCAAACTTACCCGGAAAGGGAGATTTAACAAGACCAAGAATTAGTTGAATATTTCAGAAAGGGTTTAAATTATTTAAAAAACCGAAAGCCGCATCGGATACAATTTGATTTTCATTGTAACTTTATTTATTTTTAATTAATTTAACTCTGCGTATTTTTTGTTGTGGAATTAAATGCAACTAGGATGAAACTTCCAGTTCTGACTTCGTCGTCAGACTGAGATTTTTGCTTGGTTTATCTTCCCGACCATGCGAGTGATTTCTTTTTATCAGTGTCTTTCTTCGAAGGGATTGGGTAAATGTGAAAAATCTAATACAGTATTTTTGTTTTCCATCGTAAAGACTTTGTATTGTAAATTGATATTAGGTACTGTGGGTAAATCAGGTGAGTTTGCATTTATTTAAATGTTCCCTTCTTTCTATTCAACAGCTGGTCTTGGAAGAACAGGAGTTCTTATCGGCTGCTATATCATGAAACATTACAAGTTGACGGCTGCGGAAACAATTGCGTGGTTACGAGTTTGTCGACCTGGATCTGTGATCGGATTCCAACAAACCTGGTTGGATCAGTGAGTTTTATTCATTTTTTTTTTACTTTCCTTCTCATGGTCTTTTTCCAGGTTGATCTTTTGTTGTTGTACGAAAAATTCCTGTGAGATGGGATGATTGCGGGAAATTGAACAATTCACAGAATTATTGCCTTGGGATTCCCGCGTCATTCCTGCGATTCGCTGCAACTGGGCGATGTTTAAAAATTATGTTATTACGTAATTTTCGAATTTATTTAATCTCCTTGAAGTAAGCGACGTTTACCTCACACTTATCACAAGGTTAAAAAAAAATTCAAGGATGAATGAATTTTTGAGGGCGAACATTTTTCTATCGATTCAATATGGAAACTTTTTTTTTCTTTGAAACCTGTTCGTAACCCCGTTGTTCGAATTTTTTAGATTGACTAGTCACGGGTCCTCCAACTAACTTATAAGTAAAAATTATCCAGGACATTTAAGCTATCAGGAAAAGCTACTACACCGCATAGTAAAAAAAACACGATTTAATTAACCTGAAGCAATGCAGTACAAATTTTGTATGAATGGTCGGTTTTTGAAAGGTTTATATTTTTTTACTCTGTTGGATATTTTTCGCTTTAAAAATTCTCGTTTTTAATGGTAGGGTTATGACTTTTTTTCATTTTTCGTGTGCAGAAAACAAGCATTTCTCTGGCTGCAAGGCGATCTGCACCGAACCAAAACCGCTGCCAAGAGCGTGGTGGGTGACGGACCCCCTAGCAACTGCTTGGACCCGCCACCCAGGTTCATCCAGGGCGTGTACCACATTGTGGACGGGAACAGGAACGAGTTGTGTTTCCCGTCCACCCCGAGGGAAGTGGCGAAGATCATGTCCCAGGTCAACACTCTCAAGATTGAGGACAGTGGTGACCACAAAGCAGGGAAAAAGTCGAAGTCCATCAAAGATGCCGTAAGTTAAACTTTTTTATTTCCTTCACTGAACTCCAAGGTTTGATTTTTATTTTTCCGTAACGCTGGAAAAGGAGAATGTGCTTGTTTTCGTTAGCAGGGTTATGTTGTCAGGCAAAAGTCGAACTTTAAAAGAGGAATTTACCTTTAAAGGAGTTTAAAACCGTAAAAGCTCATTTCTGCTTTTTCCTTATATTTAATATTTAAACTACAACTTAGGTTAAGTTTTACTGCGCAATAGCTATAGAACCAATCGAATTTATATGTGGAGGCTCGGAAGAAAAAGATTTTCCTAACGCTCTTCATCTTCATAAAACTATTTTTATCCATGTAAAAATTTGAATCAAAAATGCTTTGCTGCGTAAACTTCTTAGAACTCTTCTTTTTTAAATTCTGAAACGTGTAACGAGTTGTAGGGAAACGCCGCAAGGCATAAAAATTTAAGAAAAAAAAGAGATTACTTAAATGTGTTTCATTTGTCTGAGGGCTGATCATCCTCGCAGAAGCTGTGTATAGTGTTTTGTTCTTCATTGTATTGTGTTTAAAATATTATTTATTCGCGAAATTGCGACAAACATTTCATTGTCCTTGTCTGCATTTTTTCAAGGATTTTTCGGAGCAGCCGGAAGTCCGTTTTCAGCTTGAAATTTTCTCCTTAAATGGAAATTTCCTCAAATTTTGGCATTTTCGAGTAAAGACGAAAAAGGAATATAAATTATAAATTTGATGTTGAATCCAATTCAAAATGACGCGTTTAGCTATAGAACCAATCGAATTTATATGTGGAGGCTCGGAAGAAAAATATTTTCCTAACGCTCTTCATCTTCATAAAACTATTTTTATCCACGTAAAAATTTGAATCAAAAATGCTTTGCTGCGTAAACTTCGTAGAACTCTTTTTTTAATTCTGAAACGTGTAACGAGTTGTAGGGAAACGCCGCAAGGCATAAAAATTGAATGAAAAGAGATTACCTTTTGAATGTGTTCATTTGTCGGAGGGCTGATCATCCTTGCAGAAGCTGTGTATAGTGTTTTGTTCTTCATTGTATTGTGTTTAAAATATTATTTATTCGCGAAATTGCGACAAACATTTCATTGTCCTTGTCTGCATTTTTTCAAGGATTTTTCGGAGCAGCCGGATGAAATTACTCAAGGTGATGAATTGAACCGCCTGAAGGCTCAACGGCGGGGAACTCAGCTTTCTTTGTCAAGTTCTGCACTTGCAAGTCGGAGGTTTGTTTTTATTCATTTTTTATTTACGTTTCATGGACTTCATAGCGTAATATCTATTCAATTCTTCTGCTGTATCCTGATTATTGTTTTCGCAAGCATTGTTATCGAGAAGAAAGGATTATGGTTTAGTTACGCTGAATGAGGCTTTTGTAAAGAATTTTATATTAATAAGTATTTACCGCGAGTCAGAGCTGATATTGAAGAAAATCGTCGTCAAATTAGCTGGGAACATGTGGTCCTTTTTGTGTGTTATTTTTGATTACACGGGATTTATTTTGAAATATTTTTTTAAATCGAAAACGTCCATTTGAATAACGTTCGAAGCATCCCTCATGCGTTCTCAGTCTCGCCTCCGGACAGTCTTCAATAGGGTTCAATGATTTTTTTTTTTCACCCTATCCGATTTTTTTTTGCGTCGTACGCCTTTTTTCCGCAAGCATTGCTGTTGAGAAGGAAGGGTTAAGGTTCAATGACGATGAATGTGACTTTTACAATGAATTGTGTTATCAAGAAGAAATATGTTACGCCAGTCAGAGGAGCTGCAGTAGAAGAAAACCGTCATCAATTTAGCAGAGAACACATGCTCCCTTTCTGCGTTTTTCTTTCGGTTTCACGGGGGTTTGAAAAATTCTAAACCGGAATCGTCCATTTCATTAACGTTTGAAGCATCCCTCATGTGTCCTCCGTCTCACCTCCAGACAATTTCCATTAGGGTTCATTAATTTTTTCCACCCGATGTCATGTTTTCATTCATGATTCGAGAGAGAGAAAAAAATGAAGAATTCTTTTTTTGTATGCCAATTTCAGGTCGGTGGAACACGGCGCTTCCAGGTCAACGCACAGCAAGCCCCATAACGTGACGACGGTCAGCGTGAACGGCGTGACAGTGAGCAACAACAACAACACCAACACCAGCAACAATCCCCGTCATCCTCGCAACAACGAACCCAAGTCCGACAGCGCCAACAACAACGCTGCCAGCCACATGCAAATGTCGTCGTCGACGACGACGACGAGCAAGGTACCCGGCCCGTGCTCGTGCTGTCACTTCTGGACGTAGGAGCGACCCAGCCGCAGGTGAAGGCCGAGGAGACGCAGCTGTCACAGCTCGTCACGCTCCGTTTGCTCGCACAAATGCGTATGCTCATGCTGCTGCACGACACTGACGACGACGACGTCTGGTGGCGGTGGTGGTCAAGTGCTGTTGTCGCCCGGGTCGTCGAGCGTGTTGGGGAGTAAAGTGAAACGCGGTGTCAAGGACGCTGTGCAAGCGAAAAAGTGAGTAGCGGAAGTTGGTGGAGTTTTTTTAATATGTTTTTTCATGAATGCGTCCTTAAATTTGATACGAAGCATAAGGCGGACATTTATTTTTTTCTATAAAAGTGTTGAAAAAATAAATACTGTACGTGATATGAAAAATCAATCATCTAGTCGTTCGAAGTTTGTGGAAATTTTGTTTTCGAGAATGCTTTTTCAAGTTTGATAAGATCGTTAACGAGATTCAAGAGACTAGGAAAAAACTCTTGGTTCTGGGATATCGTTTTAGAAATTTTTTTTAGAGAAAGTCCATGTGTATTATTTTATTTTCTGTTCTGTTCTTCAGAAACAAATATTTTTCTTTGATTCGAAAGTTGACCTGGTTGTTTCGGACTTCTTGTAATTTTAATTTTCTCCAGTGAGTCCTTCCTCGAGTTCATCGTTATACTGAATCTTTCACAATTTTTCAGTTTTCTTTCTAATATCTCTTATTGAAATAATGACGTAAAACGGTTATATTTTTGATTGAATAATGCCTCTGACGAAGGAGGGCTGTCAATTTTTTTTCTGCTGATGACCTTATTTTATGTGAAAGTCCTGATGATGAAGACTATATCCTAGCCTCAAAATAAATGCTGCACTGTGCATGAAGCATTCAAAAATTGGATTTTTCAAGTGATTCGGACCTTTCATGTATCTTGTCATTGACCAATTTCGTGGTAGAAAATATGGATTTTTTTAATGATTGTTGACTGATTTCGTGATCGTTGTCTATTCAGGTCGACGGGGCAAATCAGGAGCAGCAGCAGGGGCAGAACCCGAGTGCTGAGATGACTAACGGCGTCCGGCGCTTCCGCGTTGACGAGGCGACGATCGGACGACAGCGACGCCAAACAGCGCCCGTCAGCCCAGGAAAAGCGCCGCCGCCTGCTGCCCGACTGATGAAGCTCTTCCTCGTCTTCAGCGGCGTTGTATTATCTTTTTCTTTTTCATCTCATACCCTCACTCACTCTCGTTAACACGTTAGGAAAGCTTTACTAGAAAGAAACAGCACATTTTTTTAGGTTTGTGAGCCTACATTTTTTTTTTTCATTGGTACATTTTCATTCGAAGAAAAGTACTGTGTGTCATGAAGACTGCTTTTCGAGGATTCCACGCTTGTCCGTGCCTTGGGGATTTTTTTTTTTTGGGAGAAATTTGCCGACGTTTGTTCTCACAAATCTTCGAAGCACTGGAAACTCGATCTAGGCACCAATTTTATTGACGAGACGTGTTTAGGAAATTTGGTACGAATCTTGCGGAAATATCTTCCTAAGTTGGTTGACCTATCGTGACTTGTATTTTAAATTGCGATTTTCTTATAAGTTTGAACATTTTGAATCGAAATGAGCAAGTTCTTTGTCCCACCACAAGTTATTGGTTATTTTGTCGGATGAATTCGTGTGATTGTTGATGAGTTAAATTCCATCAGCTTCGAAAAGTAGGGGGCTGAATTCATTAAGAAGAAGGTAAATCCGAGTGAAATCCATGATATTTATGAAAGGTTTCCCGAATTTTCTTCTCTTCACGTTGTGTGCCAAAAAGGATTTTCTTCGTTACTGCTAATTCCGACGTTGCAGTTCTTTTTTTTTTGGGCCGAAAAATAGGGTGAAGGGTTTTTCTCAGTGCTGTGAAGGTAATGCAGACCAAAGAAGTTCAACCGCTAATACTAGACATTTTTTGTAGTACAGTAATGAGTCTGGAATGCTCAGAGGGTGTTCAAAAAGTAACTGCGCATTAAGAAATTGCATTGATCTGGATGCATGAGTAAAATACTCATCGATGAAGCACTGAAAATCCTCAAGAACTCATAAATGTCTTCAGGCCTCAAGGGGACAATTGCATAATTTGCTGTTGAAGAAACTGCAGTACTTCAGTACAGTACATGTGAAGCCACTTCACTTCATACGAGGGATTTTTTTAATTTATGACTTGGGGATTAGAGCTGTGAGAAGTCGTGAAAATTTAGTTTTACTCTAAAGTAATAAATTTGGAGAGTGGTTTCCCATTTATATTATTGATAGATTATCTTGTTCTTCCATCAATCTATCTTTTTATTCGGTTGTGCTGCAAAGAGTTTTTCGTTGTTGTGGAAGATGCCTCGATTTCTATTGGAATACTTGATGACTACTGAAAGGAAAAGCCTTCCAGTTACCAATTTTCTCGAAGAATGTCCCGATTTCGTCCAGGACTGAATTTATTTTGTTATTGGAAGCAATCCCCCCTCATTCCCCTGAGACTAGTCGTTGGCGTTTAGTTAACCACTGTTCTTTTCCAATGTCCATTAGTAACGGATTTGATGAACTGTGGAACGATTGCCAATTTGGTGCCAGTGTTGGTGATTATTATTTTTTTCTTGGGTGTCAATTAGTCGACTTCGTTCTGCGATGGATAGTTGTATTTTTGTTTTTGTGGATCTATTTAGATTATTTGTACAGGCATAGTTTTTTTTCGGTTTCGTTTTTTGTTGGATTAATCTAGAAAGGGAGCAAGACTGAGATTTTGGACGGAGAAGACGTTGGGGCCGCAGCGACACCTGTGTCTTCCCGGGTGCTATCTCGAGAATTTTTTCAAGGTTTTTTTTTTTTTTGCAAATTTGTTTGACGATTTTTTTGTTAAAACTGTCTTTGCCTATGGTAAATGGGAACCCTGCGCTTCTTTTGCATTCCAGACAGATCGCAGACCTGAGCACTCCATGCCATTTTTGATCCTCGAGATTTTCCTTTTATGAATTTCATTTTTTTAGTGAAAATCATGACGCTGAGGTCTTCAATTCAAGAACTATCATCTTCGTGGGGTTTTCTTTTTATTTATGAAATTTTTTTCAAGTGTATCTCATTTATTCATCAATGGTATTCAATTTTTACGCATTGTTCTTCTTTAACGAAATATTGATTAGTCTATTTTTGAATTTGCTGTCAAGCTTTTGTTGTTCGGCGGAGCACAGATCCAGATTCTCTGCTCTTGGCCCAACAGTGTGATAACTGTTTTTATCCTAAATTTTTTAAATTATTCAGCTTGAAATGCGTGAATTCTGATTTCTGCTGAGTGTGCAAGTCTGATGTTTGAATTGCGACGGAGGCTTTTGGTGTCCATTTTGCATCGGTTGCGCGTCATGCGAGCAGTTTTAACAAGAAATAACTCGTTTGACTACGAATTTTTTTTTCGGTTATTGATTATGTTCTTCAAGAATCTTGTCGCATGCGTGGATATTCCAAAGAAATGTGAGCGAATTTTTTCTTGGGCGGAAACTCGTCGATACGAGAGGCTTTTCTTGCACGTCTGCGTAGCGTCCAGTTTCTGTGTTAATTTTTTATGATTGACTCGATCATGTTTATCCAAAAAAAAAGAGAGAATCGGTGACTTGAGGAACTTCACGGTTGATGAGTTATGTTACTAGATTGACTCAGCGTCGAGTATATTCTTGTTTACTAATGACGTTTGAAAAAGAAGAGGAAGTCTCTCAAGGATTCCAGAAGTGCTTAGACTTTGTCATGGCGACGTCAAATATTTTTCGAACTTGTGAATACGATTGCTAACGGAGAACTAGCGTGTATTTGAAATGCAGGGGTTTCGATAAAAATTCGGACGAATCGCAAAGTGGTTGCTGGTTGGTAGAGAAGTTATTGTCTGTTCTCCCGCCATTTTGCCGATTTTGGCAAGATGACAATTTGGGACAAGAACGCACCTAGAACTTTAACGTCGTGAAGCCGTGTAACGGGCACCTAAAGCAGCAGACGAAACATAAAAAACAGGTGAGAGTACACTTCTGTTTTTGCATTATTTCCCTTTCATACCTTTTACTCATTTGTGATCATTTATTTTTTATGCTGCATACCTGAGCTTGAAGAAAACAAGAATATTACACTGGAGAACAAAAAGAGTGTCCATTTAAAATGAGCAGCCCTCAGATTTCTATTTTGAAATACTGTGTAATTAACAATAATGTGAAGAGTTGATGGATTTGAATAAAATTATTATTACTTTATTGTACAGTATTATCAAATTTTTTACTCCTCAGTCCTCACCATTTAAATTTTTCTTCTAGAGGTGGAAATTCTCTACGTCAATCTTATCTACAATAGTTTTCTCATTATTGTGTAAAAATGTGTTGGCCCCTTATTTTTAGGGTTCTCTTCCCATATTACATAGGTTCTCTTAGAGAATTTTGCTACAATTTATCTCTATTACCTTGAATTTTGTTGTAGAGAGACAAGTCAAGAACAATACTGTACATTATAGACTTCTGTAAATGAAAGGCTTTCTCCCACAAACCTGATCACAATGAGGATTTTCTAGATGCCTTCATTATTTTGCTATATTTGTTGGGAACTAAAGAAAAAATATAAAATCCTTTCAGAAATAATTTAGTGTCTAATTGGAAAGATTTACCTTTGCCTCCAAGTTCAGTCTCCTGCTGTCAACTAATTTAAGAAGCAGTTTAAAACCCAAAACATATTTCAGTGGAATCCTGCAATTCTTATTTTTCATCTCTGCAAATAAAAATGCCGTTTTCCAAAGAACTCAATGAAACCTCCTTAAGTTGAACTTTCTTGCTGGCCAAACCCGTAACTTTTAGTTTTTACCTTCTTTGTCTATCAGTGTACAGTACATATATATGTATTGTATATATCGCAGTATATGAAAGGAATCTTGAAAATTCAACTTTTGACATATCTGAATGACAAATATACAGGTGAATTTTAATTCGTTGGAATACGCTGCTGATAGCCGAATCCTGATAGATTAAAATATTGCTTGAATATTTCAGATTGCTGTTGAAATCTTTGTACTGAAAATGAATACAGTTGTACAGCTTAATTTTTTCTATTGATCAGTATTGCCCAAAGTATATAGTACTGTACAGTACCAGACATGATGATGAAATTGTCCATGATGATTTTAACCGGCGAAGGCAGCGCTCTGTGTTTGATGATCGGACCTCTTTCTCGTACGCCATAACTCGTGCACACGGATCTATGATCTGCCGCTGAATGTTTTTTCAATGTTCGCATGTTATCGATTATCTTGACTGTAATTGGTAAATTCAATTGGCCTCATGTCAGTTCGACCTGTTGGGGGTTTTCAGTGTCATGTGATAGTTGAATGATCTACGTTCTGTTTTTGCATATTTTTCCTCTACTTGATGTGATGTTAGAGACCAATCGTTTTACGTTGCACGGTGTGTTTGGTTACCGGTGAAGCTGAATTTTTCCTTGATGCCAAAGTTTTTCGGTATGTGGCTAACGTATGCATGCTCTTACAGCTATCGGCCTTCAACTGCCGCTACTGGTGATGGCAGAAAGCGGCGAGCCGTTGCAGACCGACTATTTTAATATCGGCAGCAGAGTATGGTGTCGAACGTGCCATGACGATGATGTTAATGGTGAAGTTCTTGCCTTTGATCCACAAGCAAAAATGCTTGTGTTGAGTGAGTACTTAGGATTTTAAGGTGTGTGTCCGAGAGAAATGAATTTTTCTTGTTATGCAGAATGTCCAAGTTCACAGGACAAACCTAACGTATGCAATGTTAATGTCGTGAACCTGAGCCTCGTTCGGGAGCTGGTTGTGGAACATGAGTGCACCGCAAATCCTCCTCCTCTCACACCTTTGAATACTACTCGTGTAAGTGTGTGTTAATGTATCCTTCAAGAAATGTGCGTTTAAGTCTTGTAATCCTGCAGTTGACGAAACGTTTAAAGGACAACATTGATGAGAAGCATCGGCAAGTGGCAGCACAAGCGCAAGGGGTATCCCCAGTTGGACAGAGTTTGTACCTGGCCATTACAAAGACGTTAGTATAATCATTGTGATGTTGACGAGGAAGTGTGTGTGTTCTGAAACTTGTCTTGTGTGTTCTAGAATTGGAGAGGTATCCTGGCAAGGAACGGACATGATGGTGCTTGGTAAAGTTGTCGTATCCGCGCCGTACACAGTGAATGACGTGAAAGGAAAGCCAGAGTGTCCAGCATTAGTACATGTCCGAAAATTAGTAGAAAAACACTCTCGGGAGCAGATGGTGAACAATTCTAACGCGTTTGACGGCAAGGTGGCCTGAGTTCTGAATCTTTATTTTGCCCTCCCGTTGCCGTAGTGCTCTCTTTCTTCCCCGGAAACTTTTTCTCCTCGCCCGGCCGAAGTGCAATCGTCGGCAGGTGTTCTAGGATTGTTTGGCTCGATCGGTCTTCTGTTTTTCCGTTCTTACCTGTTATTGTTATTCCGTGTTTGTGTTGCCGCGTAGTCGCTCAGCTCGTTTCGAGGGTCCAAATTATTGCGAGTCCGAGCGGGAATGATCGAAATCACTAAGTCCCGAACTTGTTGCCGCTTCCATTGGAACAAATTACAGGAAAATCTCGTTAAAACGAATTTCGTTATAGCGAAAGTTCAGTGACGTCCTGGCTAAACTCGTGGGGCTAAATTCGCGGAAATCTTTTTAAAATTTCTTTACGTAAAATGCTCCTCGTTTTCTTCTTCAAAATAATAATGATGAAAGAAAGCGAGGATGAATTTCAATTCTGTGTCGTGAAATAATTACCTTATGATGATCCGTAAAATTTTCAAAATACTCGGGGAAAACCCGTCTACATCAGTATTTTTTTATCAATAAGAATAATTCGTCGGATAACGAATTATTTTGCTTGCATTATCTTTTTGAGTCTTACTGATTTTCAGTATGAACGCGAAGTGTAGTAAGAGATCGTTGCGGATGTATTGAAGTAGGTCCGAGTAAAACGAAATTTTTTTCGTTAGCAGTTTTTCCAGGTCGCACAAAACTCGTTATAACGAGATTTTGCTGTACTGTATTTCGTTCGAATTATTTTTTCCTTTTTTGAACGTTTATGTTCCAATCTGAAGAAGGGGGAATTGTGTGCGATTGATTTTGTGACATGGACGCGGATCTATATGACGAGTTTGGGAACTACGTTGGTCCCGAACTCGATTCTGAAGAAGAAGATGTTGAGTCTACGCATGAAGCCGAAGAAGAGCAAGATGATTTGAACATGGTAAGTGTTGATTTTTGTGCTCGCAAAATTTTATTTGAAAATGAATCTATGGATATTTTTTTGTGTTGGCATTTTATTATTCACACCTTGTGTAACGGATAAGGCTTTGATTTATGAAAATATTTCCAGGATGGAGATGAAGAAGCGATGATAGAAGGGGATGAAGATCAATCCATGGCTGTGGTTTTACATGAAGACAAAAAATACTATCCGACAGCAGAAGAGGTTTACGGCCCCGAAGTGGAAACCGTGGTTCAAGAAGAAGACTTGCAGCCGCTCACCGAGCCGATCATCAAACCCGTAAAGCGGATGAAGTTCTCACTCGTTGAACAAACCTTACCAAAGACGACGTACGACTTGGAATTCATGGCCGACGTGATGGACACGCCGGAATTGATTAGAAACGTGGCTTTTATCGGGCATTTGCATCACGGGAAAACTTCCTTCCTGGATTGCTTGGTTGAGCAGACGCATCCGGATCACGTTGCGGATGGCATAAAACCTTTCCGGTACACGGACACGTTGTTTACGGAACAAGAAAGAGGGGTGTCTATCAAAGCATCACCGGTGACGTTGTTGCTGCAGGATCTCAAAGGGAAGAGCTTTCTTTGTAACATCATCGACACACCGGGACATGTCAATTTTTCGGACGAGGTGAGTACTTGAATGAGTTGAGCAGTCGTAGAAAACACGTTTTCAATTGTCAAGCATCCATTTTTTTGTGATTCCGTTTCACGTTGTGTGCGTGAATACAATATAGTGTGTAGAAAAGTTAGCCACTGGGCCGATGAAAAGGTATCGTGCATACTGTACTTCGATGTCTGGAAGTGAGGAAAAATTACCGTATTTCCTCGAGTACCGAGTGCCCTTGAATAAGATGCACATCCATTTTGCCTCCAAATACAGTATTCGGATTAAAACATATTCCCAAGTAAGATCCACACCCCATTTTCAGAGACTGAAAATAGCAATAGAGGCATTTTGGAAGTGAATACGTCAGGTTTTAAATCGTGCCTTGAATTGCAGTCAGATTGATTGGTAATTTTCCATGGTTTCCATTTTTTAATTACTGTACATGTATTTGAAATTGGTTAACGCTTATGACCTATGATGCGCTCCCTGCTAACTTCGGCCCAAAATTTTCCATCGGAATCAAATATAATGCACGCCTGAACTTTCGAAACTTTTTTCGCAAATTTATATTTGTCTAAGACCCCGTCGTTTCCTTGTAATTTCGAGAAAAAAAGAGGAGCCTGGTACTTGAGTAAAAATTGTACCTCAATACATCTACCTAAATAATTTACCAAGTTCTTCTAAATAAAATATATTCTTGCACACCCCAGGAAACCCAACTTCATGTCACACATGTTCATAATTTCTCAGTTTTCCTTTCTTGATATCCCAGCGTGTTTTTCTATTCAGAAATATATTACCTTGTAGCATTTTAAGTTGATTTATCACAACAATTTGGTGTTCACTGAGACATGTTCTATTTGTAGGTGACTGCAGGTATGCGGTTATGCGATGGCGTCGTCCTTTTTGTTGATGCCGCAGAAGGCATAATGTTGAACACGGAACGCGTTCTGAAGCACGCCGTACAAGAGAAACTTCAAGTCCTGCTCTGCATAAATAAAATCGACAGATTAATGCTGGAGCTGAAATTGCCTCCGCAAGACGCTTTCTACAAACTGCGCCACATCATTGACGAAGTGAACGCTTTGCTCGTCACCTTTTCGGACTCCGCTCAGGTCGTGTCGCCGTTGCTGGGAAACGTGTGCTTTGCGAGTTCGCAATATTCTATTTGCTTCACGTTGAAATCCTTCGCGTCCATGTATGCGGACTCGTTCCCGGAGATGAATGCCACGGAGTTTGCGAAGCGGCTTTGGGGCGACGTTTATTTCCATCCGAAGACCCGACGATTCACGAAGAAGCCGCCGCATGGGAACTCGCAGCGGTCTTTTGTGGAGTTCGTTTTGGAACCTGTTTACAAGATTTTTGCTCAGGTTTGTCCATTTCCCGTTTGCGTTTTCGTTTATCGTGCTTGAAATTCCAATTTGAAAAATAAATTTCCTTTGATGCAGACTGTTCTTTCTACGTGAAAGTTTTAGCTGTACAGTATTCGTAAAACTTGTCGAGGCACAGTGCAATTATTCAAGTCACGAAATGGAGCGACAATTTGGAAATGCCTTTCACGAAAAAAAAAACTGAAAATTTAAATTAAAATTACTCGTAGTGTACATGATAACTTTTATTTTATTTTTATCAGATTTTGTTTCCCATTTTTCCTCTTTCGAAAACTTTCGTAAAATATCGTTCGTTGCAAGAATTTTTTCGGTGCAGATTGTTCAACTTCCATTTCATTTTCGGCTATATTCGTAAAACTAGTCTGGGCACCCTGTGTTTATTGAAATAACGGAATGAAGCGAAAGATCAGAAAATGCCGTTCACGAAAATTAGGAATAAAAATTCTCGCACTGTACATGATAAATGTAATTAATTTTCCAGATTTTTGCGATTTTTCTTCATTTTAAAACGTTTTTAAAATTTATGAAGTACAGCTTCTGGTCTGCCCAAATATCCGGAACTTTCAGATTACTCGAGAGGAACTAAGTTTGCGGGGTCTCATTTTTTTCGCATCTATCAAAACTAAATCTTGACAAGATCCCTAAAAATATGACCAAGATTATCCTATTCAAAAGCCTTTTAACTCAAAATTTTGCAGTACAATATTTTATAGTTTTTTAATGTAGCTATTTTAGCAGAGAAATATTCAATGATATAGAACTTGTGTTTTTTGAACGAGTGTTACCAACGATTGAATGAAAATTTTTTTTCAGGTTGTCGGCGACGTTGACACGTCTTTACCTCAAGTGTCGGGTGAACTGGGGATCTCGTTGTCCCGAGACGAGTCCAAGCAAAACATTCGCACTCTGCTTCGAGATGTCTTCTACAAGTTCCTGGGCGACTTCAACGGGTTCGTGGACATGCTGGAGACCCACGTCCCGTCGCCGCGTGCCAACGCGGAGCGGAAAGTGCAGCACGTTTACACCGGCCCGTCGGACGGAGATCGGTTTTCCGCAATGACTGCGTGTTCCTCCGACGGCCCACTAATGGTGCACACGAGCAAGCAGTACCCCAACGACGACGCCACTTGTTTCCACGTCTTTGGGCGCGTGTTTTCCGGGACGTTGCACGCTGGCCAGCGGGCCCGCGTGTTGGGCGAGAATTACTCATTGTTGGATGAGGAGGACTCGAGGGATGTGGCCATTGGCCGCTTGTGGATTTATGAGGCCAGATACCGCGTTGAGGTAAGGGGCCCGTGGTTTTAGAATTTCTATTTTAACTCAGTTGCAGAAATTAAAAACCTCTTCTGTGCGTTATCATTAAAATTCCGCTGCGTAAAAAATTATTTTCTGGTAGAGTCAGACTTGTGTGAATTTTGAATTGAGTGTGTGGTGAGTGATATGGGCGGGAAACTTCATGCAATCAGAGAATTGCGAATGTAAGCACAATTTCTCGACTCTTTATCAGGTGAACAGGGTTCCGGCAGGAAATTGGGTCCTCATCGAAGGCGTGGATCACGCAGTGGTGAAAACATCCACCATAACGGACGCGACGACGGAAGAAGATTGTTACATTTTCCGTCCCTTGAAATTCTGCACACAAGCCGTCATCAAGATTGCCGTAGAGCCTGTAAATCCGAGCGAGTTGCCGAAAATGCTGGACGGTTTGCGGAAGGTGAACAAGAGTTATCCGTTGCTTCAGACCCGCGTGGAAGAAAGTGGGGAACACGTCGTTTTGGGTACCGGAGAGTTGTACTTGGACTGCGTCATGCATGACTTGCGGAAGGTCTTTTCGGAAATTGACATCAAGGTTAGTTGGAAAAGGAAGTTTGTATTGTTGACGAATTATTTGTTGATGCTTTTGCCGTAAATAAAGTTTCTGATGCTTGTGGAATCGGAACAGATTCTCGAGCGTTTCTTGATTCAATCGCTTAGATTATCTACTTTCATTGAGCAAGCTTTGTTGAGTTGACGATGTTTTCTATCACTTTCATGTGGATGAATTTGAAGCCTAATTGTCAAAAGAATCTATTGTGAGTTCTGCGAGCCTTAGACTGAGTATGTATTGAATTCATAATCCAATCTGTATTCATTCTGCAGGTCGCCGATCCGGTGGTGAGTTTCTGCGAGACAGTCGTCGAAACGTCGACGCTCAAATGTTTTGCGGAAACCCCGAACAAGAAGAACAAAATGACGATGATTGCGGAACCATTGGAGAAAGGTTTAGCAGAGGACATTGAGAACGAAGTCGTGAACATCGGATGGAACAAGAAACGGATCGGAGAGTTTTTCCAGAGCAAGTACAGTTGGGACGTCTTGGCCGCGAGGTCCATCTGGGCCTTCGGGCCCGACTCCACTGGGCCAAACGTCTTGGTCGACGATACTTTACCAGCTGAGGTGAGACAAGGATGAATTACTGGACTAAGTAAAAGGACATCTGGGTTGAAGAGATCAATTTGCTTCGAAAAATACTTGAAACATTTCTGTTGAACTGTTACTAATCGTTGTGAATGAGGATTAAATAAGCGAAATGTTAATTGATGGCATGAAAAAAAAAATAAATTCCTATCTTGGGCGATTTAAAATTTCGAAAGAACTGATCCCAAAATTAAACTCAATCAGAGCGTGAACTAAGTATGCGTCCTGTTCTATGTAGAAGTCTGTCGTTTTTTACGACAGCATAAAAATTTTATTTTTGTGAATAAAATCTGAATTGTGGAATCAGAAATATTCGAACTTCATTTTGAATCGTGTTTTTCTACTTGCTTGGAACATCATGGAAATGTGTAAAATTTTTATTCGTCAGCAATTTGAGATCACGTTTTCTGTGAAGAAAAAAATACTAATGACGTTGAGGGTATTTGATTTCAATTGGTTCATGGGTTCGATTCAAAATATAATTTTGTTTTCTGTTTTATGGCGAAGAAGTCTGAAGTCACAGCATTTTTTTCAAGGAGTGAAAGTGTAGTCCTAACAGGAAAATTCTTTTTGAAGAGTTGATGAAGTTCAATAATTCATCGTCTGGATGAATGCTTGATTTTTCGGCAGGTGGACAAAGGTGCATTGTTATCCATCAAGGACTCCATAGTACAAGGGTTCCAGTGGGGTACTAGGGAAGGGCCACTGTGCGAAGAACCAATTCGAAATGTCAAGTTCAAAATTTTGCACGCAGTCGTTGCTCCGGAACCGATTCATCGTGGTGGTGGACAGGTGAGAAATTTCTTCCATAGGAAAACCGTGAAAAATAGAATGTAATTATAAACTAAGGGAATCCTTGATTGCGGAAGAAAATTTTTGTCGGTGTATTTTTGCCCAATTTGTACGTGGGCAGCGTTCTTCTCTTTCAAATTTTCCCGGCCCGTTGGCTCTTAAATACGAAAAAATAAGAAAATAAAGGCTCGTGAATCCTTGTTCTTGGTTTTCGTTTTCCGGCGCCAATTTTTGGGCTACTTTCTGTCTTGATGAAACCAGAAAAATTGATGAAATTGAATTGATTTTGCAGGTGATTCCGACGGCAAGACGAGTGGCGTACTCCGCTTTCCTCATGGCGACACCACGACTAATGGAGCCCTACTACTTCGTCGAGATTCAGGCGCCGGCGGATTGCGTGTCTGCGGTGTATACTGTGCTTGCTCGCCGACGAGGTCACGTGACCCAGGACGCCCCGATCCCGGGTTCCCCGTTGTACGCCATCAAAGCCTTTTTGCCCGCCATCGACTCGTTTGGCTTTGAGACTGACTTGCGAACACACACTCAGGGACAGGCCTTTGCTTTGTCTGTGTTCCATCACTGGCAGGTCAGTTGAAAAGCGTCTTGTATTTTGAGAGATATTTTATTAGCTTTATTTTATTTTCAAAAGTCTTAGGAGTCGCCGAAAAGTTTTAATTCGGGTGGTTGAAATCCACGTACACTTTCCCGATTTTCTCGTGCATTGATGCCTCAAAGAACGAACTGAATCTGATCTTTAAGAATGGTTCGTTGTACAGAATTTTTTGAAGACGAATGCGTTTAAAAACCTTGCCAAAACTTGAAAGTGAACCATGGACTCGCGTATCATTCAGTTGTTCTACCTTAAGACCCTAGCATAATTGCTTTCGAGGTTCTCAAGTGTCTCTTCTCTCAAGTCATATTGGCATTTTTCCGTATTTCCGGTGAATTATTATTATTGATTTCATCGTTTATATTGCAGGAAAAGTACTGACTTAGTAAAAGTATTCGTTGGGTTGTAGAAGTTTTCGGATGTCAAGCTTCGCCTTTCAGGAAATTTTTTAAATTTCTTTCGGGGTCTTCGTTACTGTTAATGCGCCCCTGAAGTCTTGGAAAGATTGTTCACGTGCGATATTTTCTGTAGGAAATCCCCTGCCCGTGAAATATGGTTGAAGATTTATTCGTTCTGTATGTTCCTCTGGGAAGAAATTTTAAGATTAATCAAGAGGGTTTTTCTGAAAAGGGATTCAACTGCAACGACGACTGCACGATGTGCAAGAATTTCGAGGAGACCCACGTACATTAAATTGGAGAGCTGTGCCTTTTTAACACTACATTTAGATTTCAGAGCTGCGGAACTTTCGTAGCATCTTGTTTATTAAATTAAATATTTTATTCTTGACAGATTGTGCCAGGAGATCCGTTGGACAAGAGCATAGTAATTCGGCCATTGGAGCCCCAGCCGACCCCACACCTGGCCCGAGAGTTCATGGTGAAAACGCGGAGACGGAAGGGGCTGAGTGAAGACGTCTCCATCAGCAAGTTCTTCGACGATCCCATGTTGTTGGAACTGGCTCGACAAGATGTCGCTCTCAACTACCCCATGTAGATTGGTTCCTCGTGTCGGGTGACTTGTTTTATAATCCGCATTGTGCGTCGTCGCCGCAAGCGGGTGGAAATTTTGGTTTTTTTGTAATTTGGAAAAATGCGAAAAATTTTCCGTGTTGGAAGGCTTGACGAGCCTCGTGAACTCAGTTGATTGTTATTTTTTCATTTTTAATGAGCGGAAATCTATGCCGTGTTTTTCTCTCCGAAATTACCCCGTAATCTTTGGGAGTGATCCATTTTTTCAATGACCTTCTGTGCAGGGATCACAATTTAACGAAATTCACTTATGCTCAAAAAAGACTGGACAATGTTCGTAGATGTTCCATTTTCTTCCTATTTCGTAGACTTGAAATCACACATTTCTGAATGGATCCTGTACTTATTGAAGTCGTGGTGGTGCCGACTATTTTAAGAAATTAGTCGAAGTGAATCAATTTTTCAAATTAGAGTTTAGAAAA